GGAGCCTTTCAAAGAAATTAATTTTCTTTGCATGCTACTTTTATAGTTGATATAACTGTTAACTCGACTGGACTGACTTCACTCATTTTATTTACATTTGATTTCACTTTTTAATTTTCTTTTACTATATATGTATTATTTTTTCTTTTTTTTTTAATTATCTAATGATCTAAGCTCTGCGCAGAGAAAAAGAAAATTCAATGAAAACTATTGAGTGACTAAATGGAAAACGTATAGAGAGTAAATGCTCTTCTAATGAAGAGGAAACAAGACCAAAGCGCTGAGAATTAGCATTAAATTTCCGACTTTTAAGCTGAATTTAAGCATGTCAATTATTTAGATTTACATAGATATATATCACTTAGTTATATATGTATGTATATTTATCTCTGATATGCATTGCTACAACAAGCAGCAGGAAATAAAATTAAATTTATTTTGCCTTAATTGAAAAGGTCATTGAGATGCTCCACGGACGGGGGGGTTGGGGGAGAGAGGTGAAGCTGCTGCTGCTGCGCGAAGTAGAAGAGAACTTTTGAGCACGCAAACGAAAACAAGTCGCAGTGTATGTATGTGTGTGTGTGTGTGTGTGAGTGCGCTGTAAAAGGCAACCGTTATGCGAAGTAAATATTTGCGCAATGGCGCAAAAACACAAATGCACATAAAATGCGTTGGGCAAGAGGAAAGCCAAGAAAATAAAAGTTTCAGTGGAATGGGAAAATGGCAAAAATAACAAACAAAAATTATAATAATAATATTATAAAAAAAAAAATAAGAATAATGATAAATTATAATTAAACGCAATCAAATTTTGAATAAATACTAAAAAGATACAACAACAAAATGAAGCTAAAATGCTCTATGCCTGACTAGAAGATACCCAGCCTGAAAGGCTCCGAGTTTTTAATAAAAAATAGGGTTGTCAAAAATATATCAAAATATGAGTATGTCGATCTTTTTTTGTAAAAACATATCGGATATTTTTCAAAGATATTTTTGATATATTTGAGTGATAAGTGAACCAAGCGAAAAGTWCAAAAATTGAATATGCTGAAACGACTTTAAAAATAGAACATCCGAATGTAATTTGTGCCTTAAAGAAATAAAAACAAAAACACATCGCATATGAGAAAAGAAGCACTATGATAGTTTTAAGTACCGAATACTGGATTTAAGCGATCTTTATCTCATATAAATAAAAAAAATACCTATTCTTATTATGCTGGTTTTTTGGAACAAGTTTTTTTTTTAATCGAAAAATATTTTATATATTGATATTTTAAAGTTGCATCATATTGATATTATTCAAAAAATAAAATAACATCGATACGATATTTTACATATATTCGACAACACTAATAAAAAAACTATAATTCTTAAAGTATTCGTTAATAGCCTCTTGGAAATTAGTTGTATGGTTGCCTGACTTGAATACACTCATTCTATAATTTGAGATTCACTAACGAATTTTTCAACTGCTTCAATATTTTATTTAAGTCAAGATGTAACTGTAATATTTAATAAGCTTGCTCCATCTGGCTTATAGAGCATATTCATGGTAAGGACCAAGAACCAGCAATCAGCAGCTGTATTTATATAACACCAATCCCCCGCCCAAACTGTTATACTAGGGTATATGACACTAGACACTCTTGCGTACGTGCAGGGTATCAGAACAAAAGTAGCATAAATTGAAATTAAATATATAAAGTAAGTTGACGCGCAAATTGCAAAACACCGTGGGCAAACAAAGCAGCAACAGCAACAGCAGCAACAGCAACAACAACAACCGAGAGAGAAAAGAAGTGCAAATAAAAATACACACAATTAGAATAGACACCCCCAGGCGCCCATTTAGTTAACACACATTTCTGCCCCAATGGGCGTGGCAGCTGCAAAACTACCCAAGTGTATTTCAGTTACAGGTGCCCAGGCGACCACCAGGTGCCCAGGTGCCCATGGGCCATCTATGCAAACCAACTTCAAACAGCCTCAAGTAGTTTAGGACAATTCGAAAGCTTAACTTGGCCAAAAACACGACTTGTAATGAAATTAATTTAGCTCGCGAAATATCCAACACAAACAGCTGTCAATCATGTGGAGGGAAAACAAAAACAATTTCGATTTAGATTTGAGAGTTGGGCCAAAGTTTTTGCTTGATTGAATTGGAAAAAGAAATTTTCTGTAACATCTCTAAGCGGCCTCAGTACATTGGCATGTGCCTCGCTCCCCCACCCCTCCGCCTCCGCAGCTGAAACGGTGGAATGAAACACGCACTATAATTAAACGCAGCGGCATTAAAACTTAAATAGGCTTTCGCATAAAAAGAAAACGCCTTTTTTAATTGCCTGCTAAATGCTTATATAACATTGTAATTTTCACCCAGCCCCCGCTGCCACCCCTCGCCCCTCGCCCACCGCTCAGCACCCACCGATCTCCCCCAGGTTTTAGTAGGCCCTCGTTATGCACGCACCTATTGTAAGTCGTTAGTTACATTTCATTAACTGCCGTTGTGCTGCATGCCACAGGGGGACGGGGCGTGGAGGGGGCGGGGGCGGCCATACTTATATACGAGGCAATATAAAGCAATTTTCAATTGAGTTTAATGGGCAAATGTTTACAATTGCGCTTATCAGCGATGATGTTGTAGCGCCTCGCTGCCGTTCAATTAACGGTGAAAAGCGAGAGCGAGAGATAGAGAGAGCCCGACAGAGAAAGAGAGAGATGAAATGAAAACAGAAATTAAGTAATATTTAGCAAAGAAACGGGCTTACGGTTGCGCTACGCCTATTTGAAAGCAAACAAAAAAAAAAAAAACAAAAACAAAAAAAGCCAAAAATTTTGCAAAAAGAAACTCAAAAAAAAAAAAGAGGGAAAAAAAGAAAACAACAAGAAGAAAGACACGATGAAACGCAGCTAGCTGATGGAGAGCTTTCACACAAAATATAACAATGATTATGATAATGATGATGATGATGACGACGAGTTGGCACGCCCACACGCAAAGGGCTGCCGCTTCAGTGCGCAAAACAATGACAGTCCAAAGTTCAGGCCAACTTTTGACCAAAAGACCAAAAATTAAGAAAAGCAGAATGGAGTTAAGAAAGCAAAAGAAAGCCGAAATTCAAATGCACTTACAATGCTGTGAGAGCCGAGGAATATATGATGTGATTTAGTTGATTTCAAAGATCTTGGAAGAGAGCTTCATGACAGATAGGTACTTAGGTACATATATATCATATTGAAATTCATATTTACATTGAAATATCTGAATATATCTTTATATATTTATATCTGTAACTCTCCAACTCTATATCTCTATATCTATATCCCTATATCCCTAGATCTCGAGATCTATATCTCTATACCTCTATATCTCTATATGTCTATATCTATATCTCTATATCCCTAGATCTATATCTCTATAACTCTATATCTCTATATGTCTATATCTCTATATCTCTATATATCTCTATATCTATTTCTCTATATGTCTATATCTCTATATCTCTAGATCTCTATATCTCTATATCTCTATATCTCTATATCTCTATATCTCTAGATCTCTAGATCTCTATATCTCTAGATCTCTAGATCTCTAGATCTCTATCTCTGTCTCTATCTCTATCTCTAACTCTATCTCTATCTCTATCTCTATCTCTATCTCTACCTCTATCTCTATCTATAGATATAGATATAGCTATAAATATATCGCACTCTCACTCTCTTTATCTCTCTCTCGCTGCTCATATCATTATCTTAACCAACCCAAAGGGCACTCGAATTGATGGCGCTGCCAAGCTGAGAGTGAAATAGACAAATGTCCGCACACCCAATTGCAGACGGGTCACATAATTAATAAACCAGCAGCAGTAGCAGCAGCAGCAGAACAGAGTGACGACTGTGCGTTAACCAAAAAACATTGGCCAAAGGTAACGAAAGCAAATTGTCCAACGTTTCGGTTCGGTTCGGTTTCGGTTCGTTTGATTCACGGCAGCTGCCACAAATTCCCACAGTGGGGCCGAGCCCTAACAGAGTAAGCCGTCTCCATTCTAGGCAGATAATTATTGGCCCACAACCCCAACTCCAACACGCACACACACACACTTGGATATATTACAAATTCTTTATTGTTGGACATTCTTGACTTTCTGAAGCACTGAAAAAAAAAAAACAGACTGCTTAAATCGAAATGAAATGTATTTCTTATTAGAAAAAACCTAGCAACTCCAATAGGAATCGTACACTGATTGAAACTTGTATTTATTTAAAGTACATACAAAAATTATTGCAAAAATAAGAAGAAAGAAAAACATTAAGTGTTTGCCCTACGCTTAATTGGCTAATTGGACGTTAGATGGCGCCACAGTTGCCTCATATCCTTTAGACATTGTGCTGCTATCGTAGCAATTGAAAGTTGAAGCAATTGCCTGGCAGCTAACTTGAAAGTTTACTATGCACACACACGCACACATCCACATCCACACGCACACATGCAGTGGGAATGCAGCAAATGTGAGAATGCAAACTTTTAGCATAGACTGTGTCAGCATGCCAGACAGCAATTGGCAAAAGTCTTTGGCCGAAGCAGACAAAAGTCAGAAGAATGCCAATGTTTGTGTGTCTGAGCATGTGTGTGTGTGTGTGTGTGTGCGTACAGTAGTTGGGCGCATGTGTGCGTGTGTGTGTGTGTGTCTTGCTTGCAATTTATGTCAAATTAATTAAAAAGATGTGCAGACAGACAAACCGACATAAGTTGAACACAATGCACACAGCTGAGCACAGCGGAATAGAAGTTTTTTTAATTCTTTTTTGCAGGTTTATCGAGTGAATGATGGCGGCACAGGAGGGTAGGCGGGGGCGAGAGTGGGTGGAGGCACAAGTTGAGCTGGCAAAACAATGGTAACGCGGGCACTTAAACTTCGATTTGCCAGTTGACTGTCTGCGGAACAAAGCATGAAAGCCAATTGTCATATGGAGCTGTGCTCCACTTGTTCTTATTGTTGTTGTTGCTGCTGTTGTTGCTGTTGTTTTAACGGTGAGTAAACAAAATGGCACAAACAATTTGAACAGCATAATAATTATGTCACACACACACCAAGCTAACAACATAATTATGTAAGAGAAAGGGAGGCAGGTGGAGAGAGATGGAGAGAGAGAGAGAGAGAGAGCAGGGGGGGTGGCAAACAAAAGATAAAAGCCGCATCATGAAACGAAAGTTTATAATAAACGTGGACAAGTGCGCTGAGGGCTTTTGGGGCGCCGCAAAGTTGCGTCTCCCGAAATTCAGCCATAATCTCAGCCAGACAATGAACAACAACAACAACAACAACAACAACAACAACAACAACAACAATTGACATAAGACGCATACATACGTGTGCAGCAGTCCAACGAGGCATGCAACGAACCAGAAACTGAAACAAAGCTGAAGAAACCAAACGAAAGAATTGAATGGCCAAGCGGCCTGTGGAATTATACGAATTTTGAATACACTCATAGAGATACCCTAGCATAGCATAGCAAATCGAGGCAGCCCTAAATGACTTTCCATAGCTATAATTACCTAACCCGATGTCAACATCGTCAATATTCAGAATTAGAATATGGAATATATAGTTTCAATTTGAAAAAATTATCATATCTATATCTATACATCAATATCATAATCGTATTGATAAACATCTTCATATTGATATTCATATTTACATTCACATTCCCATTCACATTCTAATTCATAATCATAATCATCGTATTCATATCTATAATCATAATCACATTGACATTCATATTTATATATCTGATTGATATTCATATTCAATTCGACATTCACATTCACATTGAAGCTTGTGATCTTACAGATTCTTACACTTCTTTATCATCTGCTTCTCATCGTCTTCTTTCGCCTCGTCTTCGCTTCGTTACATATTAGATAATCAATTTGTAATACCCTCGGGCAACAAATGTGGCAGATTAAAAAGAAAGAGAAAAATATATATATATATGTGGAACATGCCGGAGCGTTGATGCGGCGTAAGCGTAACCCACGTGCATTCCACAACAAATGCCAAACGTTCCGGCGGCGCACGCAAACTACAAATAACTCAAATAGTTGAACAATAAATGGGGTCGCACAACAGCACAGATTGAAGAAACGGGCGAGACGGAGAAAGAGAGAGAGAGAGAGAGAGATAGGGAGACAGACAGCGTGAGCTTGAAGGAGTGTGCGACAGGATCTGAGAGATAGAGAACCACTGTGGGTGTATTTCAATCTGTGCAACATACAGATGTTAGATAGGGTCAATTAAACGAAAAAGGGCAGCAAGATAGAGAAGACATGTATTAGAGAGAGAGAGAGAGAGAGGGAGGAGAGGGAAAAAGACAAGTGCAAAAAGAGCAGAGGAACACAGTAAGTCAAAAGCTGCTTAGCTGAAATTAGGAAGAGTTCTAATACATAGAGAATATCATATATAAACACATCAATATAGAGCGAGCGAGAAAGGGAGAGATATTGCAGGATAGAAATAGTTGAGGCTATCAAGTAAAATATGTCTGCAACAAGGCGCAATGTCAACAAATGTGAATGAATGAAGCATTCTCGCAGGTTTTCAAATGCCTCGCCGTTTCATAGCTGTCAGCTTTGGTCTGTCAAACAAGGGCTGAGTGGGTGAGACAGATAGAGAGAGAGAGAGACAAATTGAGTACTAAGTGCTGTAAGCTGTCGAAAGCAAACCAAAAACCACATCATAGAAGGCAGACACACACACACACACACGCACACATACACATCGTGCAGTGCAGCAGCAACAATTTGCATGCGACATTAAATATCAAAAATGAGTAAAATTGCAAATTTTCTGAGGCAGCTCCGTAATGAGTGCGACAAATGTAATTGTTTTTTAATGTTGCCAGCGGGCAAAGAACAATATGAACTAAACACACACACACATTGAATTACATATAGCGACATATCGAATATGAATTATATTAATTTATTTACAATTTGACATTATGCATAATGATTTGGAACAGATGCGCAGAGAGAGAGAGAGAGAGAGAGAGAGAGGGGGGGGGGAGGAGGAGGGGGACGAATGCAATAATTGTGCGCATTCAGTCAATAAAATCACAGCTGCAATTATTTTTATGCCACAAGCCATAAATGCAGCCGAAATTAGAATAATTGCAAAAGCAAAAAAAAAAAATGCCATTGCATTTCCACTCTAATTAAATAATGTCCACTCTAATGCAATGCAATTCAATTATATCATTTGCCGACAGCGTTCCAAGTATTTCCGATTCGCGTTCGATCACAAACAACGCGTTTGCCTTTCATTCCCCGCCCTGGCTTATAAAGCTGTTCAACAATCTACACAAATAATATGCATAAGTCTGAAGAAATTTGCAGCAAGCTGTGATAAAAGTTTACTTGGAAAGGAAACCAGTTTCATATCATGGAAGCCGCATATTTTTACAAATTAGTTAAGTTGAATATAAAAAAAAAAAAAAAATAATCGAGAATCAAATATTTTATCATATGGCAGTAAAATTAGTATATAATTTGAAGCGGATAAAT